ATTGAAGACTGATTTATCGAGAACGGGTGTTCACTCACTGAACCATACCTGATAGCTCGGTTCTGTAGAGTGCCTGCTTTGTCCGCTCTACCTTAGAGGGATACAATAGGTTGCCCTAAACCAGTAAGAGTAGGAAGATTCTGGCGTTTCTGACTTTCGGTAAGCCCTGTACTCGTATTCGCTTTAGAATTCTACCAGCGATTGATTGCATATGTGTCCTAATCAATGACTTGGGAGGGTAAGCGTAAGCCTAAGCCAACGCCTCGAGTGAGTCTGGCATCGAGCCAAGAAAGGTTGAGGGAAGGCCTCGTTGGTATGAGCAGGTGAACAAACTGCCCACAATGTTAGAAAACAGAAATTCCCCGAGAATCGGCTGACTGAAAAGAGCCATGGAATTCAACTTCATAGCTGTCGATTAAGCAAGACAAAAAGCAATGATGTCAACAAGATATCCGAAGCTCTACGACGAAGCAATTCCTCATTACGTGTCCATTCATATGACCAGGAAGAATAGGTTGGAGAGTCGTTGGATCTCTACTTTCTCTATTTATGCACATAAAGTGAATTTGTTTTTACCATGAAAACGAAATCTGTTAAAGCAGTGTTCATGGCGAAACAAAATCCTTCAGCATAACCTTGAAGATATGATAACTTCCACGAAGCCTTCGTTTCCGCAACGCCCTTTCCTATCTTCTTTTCCTTCTCAAATCGGCTACAAGCAGCTATTGACTGTAGATCAAATTGCGCTACCGTATACAAGTATAAACTAGTGAAGATCACAATAAAACGCTCTTCGGAGTTTCTCATATGAGCGACATATCGCGGCACAAATCTTCAAGCCGATTTTAGGAAATGGACGCCATTTTTAATTTTTTTCTTTCAAAATAAGTTCTTATCAAATTGTGCTTATTTTTTTACATTCAAAGAGGAGCAATTCCAACATGTAAAAACAATGTGAGTAGCTACCAGTACTGAGGGGCTGAAAGCAAGAGTCCTCATAAAATATTCAGCGTAGGACCGTATTCAGGACCTGCAACCGACAGCCTGCCTCTTCTCGCTCCCCCTCATCCTTACTCCAGCGTTGATCCTAAAGCTATTACCTTTCATTGCCGCGCTACATGAGATTGCCCCATTTGGGTGATAAACTGGTAACTACTTAACCAGTGCAATGATTAAGCTAGTGCTCGTAAAGCGTAGATGTAGGTAGAACCCCTCTGGACACCGAGGGTTCCGCCCGTGAGTTCCATGTTTTGATGCTATGTTTTGTTCATGATGCTTGTTTGCTCTTCAACTCGAGTTGTTCAATGATTCGCGAAGATTACGCCATGCCCAGAAAATTCAAGTGTTTTCAGGGATGTGCGTCTTTTCAGCATGTGGACAGATTATCTTCGGTGTTGTGATGATCGGCTGCGTAGTACTGACTGCGATACCGACATTCAACGGAAGTAGGTTTTGGTTATTCACTCAAAGCTTGGAAAGTTACCAAAAAAGACAATGAGCATTGAAGAAAAAGAGTATGGATACGAAAAATGCCAACTTCTGCTCTAATTTCCTACGAACTAGCATAAACCGAGGTTTTTCAGAATTTTTCTCATGGGATTGCCTGACCGACTGGGAAAAATGTAATCCTTTTGAACGGGTCAGTATCGATTGCTAAGCTTTTCATCGAAAATCTCCCGAACCTATCTCATTCTAATTCGTATTCTGTTTAGGAGGAGCAAGGGTACATGAAAACAGTTGCCATCTTCATGGTCCTAGCGCTAGGCTTTGAAATCATAGCGCTGATCTGGAATCTTATCGCTTTGTGAGTTTTTTTTCATAATAATTGCGTTGCGATATCCTCAAAATGGTGTACAGAATTAAAAAAATATTTGAAATTCAGCTCAATCATCATGGATACGGTAGTAATAAGTATATTAATAAGTAATATTAAATCTTGTCAGTAACGTTCGTTCCTCAACATCCCTCCTTTTCATTCCTGCCCCCTTACCCACCCCACCCCACCCCACCACCTCCCCTCCCTCATTCTTTTTAGATGTCGATGGCAAAA